GGTGACAGGTGAGGGCGTGTCCTCCGTGGGAGCAGGCGTGGTGACAGGTGAGGGCCTGTCGTCCTCCGTGGGAGCAGGCGTGGTGACAGGTGAGGGCAGGTCCTCTGTGGGAGCAGGTGTGGTGACAGGTGAGGGCAGGTCGTCTGTGGGAGCAGGTGTGGTGACAGGTGAGGGCAGGTCCTCTGTGGAGCAGGTGCGGTGAAGGTCAGCCACACGTGTAGGCCCCAGTGCTGGGAAGCTGGACAGCGTGCTGGAGGCGGTGGCAGGTTTCTTCTCATTGCTCATGCTTGTACTGAAGACCCAAACTCCAGTGGCTCGGCCGTTCCTGCTAATCTCACGTACAGGTGTGAGCGGGCCGTCCCAGTAGAGCACGGGGCTCACAGTGTCGGGGCCCAGGCTCCCGTTCTGTCCTCTGCTCCTTCAACTCGCAGTGTCCCTCTCGGGCTCTAAGATGGCCATTCCAGCTCCTGCCGTGACAGGCATGCTCCGGCCAGTGAGGGGAAGAGGAAGTGACCTCCAAGGGCCCGACACAGAAGTCACGTGCCACTTCGGTTTCCGTCTCGCTGGCTGGAGTTTTACACGTGGCTCTATGGCTCAGTGGTAGACCCGGGTTCAGTATCTGGCCGGTGCACCGCGTGTGCAGTCACCACCCATCTGTCAGCGGAGGCTTATGTGTTGCTGTGATGCTGAACAGGTTTCAGCAGAGCTTCCAGTCTAAGATGGACTAGGAAGAAAGGCCTGGCGATCTGCTTCTGAAAATCAGCCGGTGAAAACCCCATGGATCACAATGGTTGACCCGCAGCCAACTCTGGGGATGGCAAAGGACAGGTGTGGGTACGTGCAGAGTTGGGGATGGCACAGGACTGAATGGCACATTTCATTCTTTTGTGCGTGGGGTTGCCATGAGTTGGGGCCGGACTTGACCGCAGCTAACAACAGTACCTAGGTTTACCAGGGTCTGGGAGATGACTTTAGCTGGGTGATAATGACGAATGTGAGTGTCTGTTAATATGGGACAACATATTATCGTAGGGTAGGAGTTGGCAAACTATGGCCTGCAAGCAAATCCAACCTGCTTCCCGTTTTTGTAAATAAAGCTTTATTGGAACACAGCCTTGCCCATTCATTTCAGTTTTGTCTGTGGTGCTTTCGTGCTTCTGTGCAGAGCTGAGTAGTTGCAATAGACCATATGGCCTGCAAAGCCTAAACTATTTACTATTTGGCCCTTTATAAACAGAGCTTGCCAATGCATCAAAAGAAGAAGCGGGAGGTAATGGTGCAGGAAGTGCTTAGGATCGCCGGGTAGCACAGAGGGCCTGTTTGAGATGAGTTCCCTTGTGTGAACAGAGCCCATATTGATTGGAAATGGGTTCATCTCGGGGATGAGTGTTTGGAGCCTCATTCTACTATTCTCCCTGCTGTTGTGCATTTTTTGAGAACTTTCGTAAAAAGAGCTACAGTGAGGCCAGTCAGCATGGTGTGGTCTCCCCGTGTGGCCAGCAGTTTTAAGTACAGGTATGGGTATGTGCAGAGTTGGGTTGATTGGCTGGGGTTTTGAGGACAGGTGTGGCTACGTGCAGAGTTGGGTTGATTGGCTGGGGTTTTGAGGACAGGTGTGG